GATGTACGCTTGCTTCACATCCCAGTGAGCGAGTTTCTTGCCCTTTTCAGTGGCTACGGCAATCACCGTCTTGATAAACGCTGCAGATGGGCACGCTAAGGATGAGTGGTGGAAGTCGATGCTTGAGAGAAACCCCGCGCAACCACACGGGCCTTGAAGTCGACTATCAGGCCCTTCTCATTCGTCTTCCAAGAGAACACCCACTTTGAACCTATGGCCTTCCGCCCCTCGGGCAGCTCCTTGACCTTGGTAAAGGTTCCAGTCTTGTCGTGGCCATCTATCTCTTTCTTCATGGCCGCCTCCCAGAAAACCTTGTACTTGGAACACATCCCATCCTTGTACGTCATCGGTACTGCTTCCACATCACTCGGCTTCTGCCCGATTGGCGAGGTCATACTTAGCTGTGGGTCTGGGAGTGGTTGCGAAGACCCGCTGGCGTCGACCTCGGCCCCGAACGCCTGCTGTTCCGGGCCCAACACCTCCTGCATCTCGCGCCTGTACATCTCCTCCATACGGCGTGTCTGCTCCTCGTCCCACTGCTCCTTCACAAGCGAGTTGCAGATGTAGTCCTGAACAATCTCCGTCCCGCCAGTTTCCAGAATGGTCGCTAGCAATGCCTCTTCCGGGTCCGGTGTTTCTCCGGGCCCCGGCATCTCCCCGGCACCTTGCATCTTCCGGGTCTGCTTCCGCGTGCGGCCACTCTCAAGCCCATGGCGCAGCGGGCCAGCGTTCGAGGCGCCCCAGAGGAGTTTCTTCCCTTCTAGCCCGCGGGGGTAGCGGTCGTCGGCTGGATCATACTTCAACTCCTCGAGGTTCTCGGAGTCGCCGGGATCACCATCGCTACCGCCGTCCCCACCTGGGTCGCCGGACTCTTCGCCGCCCGGGCCGCCGGCACCGCCGGCGTCACTGCTGCTGCTGCTGCTGTCGGTGGGGCTGTCACTGCCTCCGCCGAAGTCTCCCCTTCCCAAAGGGGGCGACGGGGAAACGCTGCCTCCGTCCCCCCGGAATCCCGTTGCCGGGTGCCGTCGGCGCCTCCCCGCGCACAAACGGCGTCGCTTGCCCTGGCCCACGAGCCTCCATCACGTCGAGGTCGGACTCA